TTGTTACAAGCATTTTGTTTTTTATAAAATCTAATTAAAAGCAAAGGATTCTTAGAAGCGTAAATGCTTAATGAAATTCGTGCGTGGTTACAATATAAGCTTAGTAGTCAAGCGCCGTTTTGCAGTTTCTTTTATATGACGCTGTGAAAAGTAGATGTGTGTTGGTTAGCTCCAATATTTTTGTATTTGTCTCTTCTTATGTGGCATCGCCAAATATTTCAAAGGAGACTGCAAATACGATAATTCTTATACAAGGAACATTCCAATGTGCATAAATTGCTTGAAGTAAAATTTAAGATTATATACGTTTTGATGGAATAGATAACTTTCTGCAAAAATGTTTAAGAGAAAAAAGAAAAGGACAATAACAATGATACTAAATACAGACTGCTTTTTTTCTTTTGTACATTGAGCAATGCCTTTTTTTCTTATTATAATTTAAAGAATGATCACAAGAATATGAAAATTGAAAACCAAACGATATGCAATAGGAGTATGTAGTCCTTTGCTTTCATCCTCAAATAAAAACAGTATATTGATGATATATGGTAGGTAAATTTCGTGTAAGTTTAATTTATAGTAGGTAGGTCACGTGGACGGGGTACATTAGTTATGTCATGTGGGTTTGCAGCATAATATCATTCAATACAGTATTATTATCAAAAAAAAAAATCCATGCTTTTTTGTGAGAGGCAAGTTAATCTACTGTATAGATGTCAAATCTTAATATGTGCATTGCCCTAGCTTATTTAAAATACGCCAATAAACAATGAAATATCTTACATTTAAATAAAGACCACTTATTTGAATGTATTAAAACATTCGATAGCTTTGACAATTGATTGCTCAATCATTTAAACATTTCAGCCGTGACCTTTCAAGGGTTCAGTTAGTTAGATATTTTTCAATCATATATTTTTTCGTTTACGGCTTGACATGGTTACTGTATACAATGTTATTTTTTGCCCTTTGTCTTTTCGCCCTTTCACACTTGCAGACAATTTTTTCCCGTTTTAAATTCGCTTAATCATGAATTTATTTAAGAAATCATGCGGTAATTTTTTAATTCGCCCCGTTTTTTAACTCGCCCAAATGAGGGTAGAGCGTAATAGGCGAAAATGAAACGTTGGTAAAATGTCCCCTGTATAGAGTGCTATGGACACTAGCATTCTTACCATGTGTCGCAATCATGCATAATCATGAAATACAGTACAATCCAGAACCAATTGACTGCTTACGGACTGCCACTACCGGCACAGAGCAGTCTCAAAGCAGTTTCAGATATGTCCCAAATTTAAGTCATCCCAGAGCAGACCCTAAGCCGTCCTAGCGGTCCCATAGATCAGTCCCAGTGCGCTGGGTTATAAAGCAGTGGATTAATCCTTCTTATAAAATACCACATTAAAGTCCTTTTACAGCTTAAATTCATTCAAACAAATCAAAATTAATTTTTCGATAACTAATAAACTAGGTTGAAATCTTGTCATATAAGGGGATGTATGAAGATATTCTCTATAAAATTATACTAATGATCAAAAGAAATATGAGAAGTTCGAATCAAAAGTTGAAAGCTATTTGTGAGATCACGGTGAAGATCAAGTTTAAAACATGAAAATGACATTGAAATTGCTCACCATTTATTTCAATGTACATTTATTTATTAGCAGAATTTGGAATTAAAAGAGTTTCATACCAAATTTCCTTTAGCCCCGACTGCTCTTCTTAAATTGCCAAAATCAACGATTAAAGTTAGATATGCCTAAATGAAAGTTAAAATTACCAGCTTAAAAGTTTGAAAATTAAGTTAAGATTCTAAGTTACAAAAATACGTGGAACTAATACTTTTCCTGAGAAGAGCCAAGTGAAGCAATCCTAACTGCAAAGATTGTCCTTGCTTTTCAGCTATGGTCTTGATTATATACAAAATAATAAAACTAACAAAACGTGAGCTTATGGCAACAAAAAGCTAAACAAAAATCCTCATTGAGTATAATTCCATTCACAGCAATGTATGCAATTTTTAAGTACACAAATCCTGGTTCACTTGGCACACATTTCAAATAAATCAATAGATTATTGGTAGTAGTCAATTTATCGCATTGCACGTTTTCTGGAAAAACTAAGGATCGTATATTCCTTAAAGACAATGAATTATGCGGAAAACTTATCAAACCATCCAAAGTGCTCATTATAGAAATCTGCTGCTGCATTTGTAAGATCCTTGTTATCCTTACACCCCAAAGCTGTTGCATACGATTTACACCCTTCTTTAAACTCGAGACACGATAACTTGCAGAACCCAAGAAAACACCATGCAACACCTCTAAATGACTTTTTCACAACCCCGGAATCTGCTTTATTGTGACAAAAAAATATAGTGTCTTAAATCTCCTAAATGTCATGTGATATGTAGTTTGTAAGACAATTTTTAAGTCAATGGTATAAAATGCAGAGAGAAAATAAATTTTCATAACTTTCATTTCAGAAATGGAGGCAGATATGAACAATCATAGATATATTTTCATGCTCGTCTTCATTATTGGACGTGGAGAATACTGTTCCTGTTCAATTACATGCAAGTCTCCGTCGAACAGAATTGTAGACTGGTAAGGTTGATTGGTAATGGTGCAACGATGCACCCTTTTCTCACATAGAAAAAATTAAATAAGTAAATTAAAGTATAAATCAGACCAAACACACACACACAAGCACACATGGTGAATAATTTTAGACTTTGTATTGTATTTAAGACTTCGTATTGTATTAAGTGGAAATGGAGATGGTAGATCATATTGCTCTATTTCTTATATACAGATCTGCGCACTTTAAGAGCTCATATGGGCTCTTAGCTATTTAGCGTCATTTGATTGGGAAAAAAAGATTTAATCCATTTTGTATAACATAACTTGCCTACGTCACAATGAGTTACGTCAAAAACTTATCACTCCACTTGACGTTACTTTTTAAATAGTGCTCAATTCGAAGCCATTTTCCGGTTTATAAAGCGTAGACTGCCCCTAGTTATATTATATCGGATAACATTAGTTGTAATAAACTTCATTCATTAATTAATCTCATATTCTTCTCGCAATAAAACCGGTCACGGTAGCCTAGTGGTAGAGCGTTCGCTTCGTGATCGGGAGGCCCGGGTTCGATTCTCGATCGCCGCGTCATACCAAAGACGTAAACATAGGTAGTGACTGTTCCTTCGCCAAGCGCTCGGCACTAGAAGTGAAAGTCACTGGTCTTTCGGATATGACCTTAAAAACGTAGGTCCCGTGTCACCGATTAAAGTTAGATATGCTTGGTTCAACTTTTGATATTTTTACAGTTTGAATTAATCGAGTTTTCTCTGATACTATTTGATTGAAGTCTGTAAATTGACTTCTTAAACACGAGTGTTTTGCACATTTTTAACCCTTGTCTTAATTTTTTTCGAGATGTACTATTGGAAAGAAAATATATTTTTGAACGTACGGTCTGAGACTGAAACTTGGGTTGGGATGTATTTTTCATGATGCTAGATTTCAAAGTCAGCTTTTTGTAACATATAAAAACAGTTAAACTGCTGAGAAATACGGTTATTAAATTGCGCTTAAGAGTCGTATTAATTAACAGAAAATACAGAAGTTACATGAGCTCCACTTTGTCTAGGCATAGGCAAAGAACTTCGAATAATACGACGTATCTCCTAGGAATTGATATCGTTTACCAACCCTAACAAAAAATTCTATAGTTAACTATAGTTTACTAAAGTTATTTATAGTGATATCTTTGACACTTTGAAAACTTTATCAAAAACTTGGATACTCTAACACTTTGAAAAACTTTATCGAAAACTTTGACACTTTGTTAAAGTTTCTCGAAAACATTGACACTTCGAAAAACTTAATCGAAAACTTTGACACTTTGTAAAAGTTTCTCGAAAACCTTGACACTTTGAAAAAAATTATCTAAAACTTTGACACTTGGAAAAACTTTATCGAAAACTTTGACACTTCAAAAAACTTTATCGAAAACTTTGATACTTTGAAAAACTTTATCGAAAACTTTGACACTTTGAAAAACTTTGGTGAAAACTTTGACACTTTGAAAAACTTTGGCAAAAACTTTGACACTTTGAAAAACTTTAACGAAAACTTTGACACTTTCAAAAAAACTTTAACGAAAAATTTGACACTTTCAAAAAAACTTTGATGAAAACTTTGACAATTTAAAAAACTTTATTGAAAACTTTGAAACTTTGATTGATTGATTGATTGTATACTGTTTAATGTCCCTTTCCAGAATATTTCACTGATATGGAGACGTCACCATTGCCGGTGAAGGGCTGCAAATTTAGGCCTATGCTCGGCACTCAGGGCCATTGAGCAGGGAGAAATCTTTAACGTGCCACACCTGCTGTGACACGGGGCCTCGGTTTATACGGTCTCATCCGAAGGACCGCCCCATTTAGTCGCCTTTTACGACAAGCAAGGGGGTACTTTGAAAAACCTTGTCGAAAACTTTAACACTTTGATTTTCTACAGTCAACTATAGTTAACTGTAGTTAAATATAGTTGACAATAGTTAACTATAGGTTTTTTTTAGTGAACCACCTGGAAGACGCTTAGGGTTTTCTTGAAGTATCACTTTAGCCTCGAATAGCTTAATATCAGCCATACCGGTCGTAGATTCTAGATACAAGGATAAATTTTGATGACTTGGAAATAGCAATTTGTCTTTTGAAAGTTGCGGTAAAAGTAAAGCAATCTAGAAAAAGTTTAAATTATTATTTTTTCTCATCTTGAAAACAGGGAGTTGTATCTATTAATCGGGATGGCGTCCGTCTGTCTGTCTGTTAAGCTTATTTTATACCTATCTCTTATCAGCAACTTTTCATTTACCACTATATGAAATTTGATGAAACTTTCACAGAATCTTCATTACATATTGGCAATTATCACCTTTTAATTTACTTTTTGATTCGACACATTGTTTTGGGTTTCCCATAGCAGAACATGGATACTGCCATTAAATTTATATGGGTGGCAGAGTATCATTAAGTTAGGATAGTGCTCACTGTACCTTTAATTAAGTTACGTTGTTAGCATAAATTAATATCCATTTTAAAAGTTTTTTTAAAGTCATTTGCAACGTTGCTGTTTACTTAATAATACCTTGGTACTATGTACAGAGATACTATGTAACCCAATGTTTACATGTATTATAGGTTTATTGTGTATAAAGTACCAGAATTAAAACACACCTTCAACACTACGGGATCAGAATACTTTTATATGGATTCCGATCAAACATCACCGAAATTTTCTCATTACAACAGGGACATCCAAAGTACAAAAGCAAATCCTGTATTTCAAACACTTCTTCCTTTGTATAGCAAGGTAAATCTTATGCTTATACATATATTTTTTATGTTTGGTAAACATTGCAAAATATCTTTATATTTAATGAAAGTGTATTTTTGTTGGTTATGCTTTGTAGACAGTATTTTTTTGGATGTGAAAGTGGATATTATATGAATACTAGTATATTTTTTGTGAAAGTGTCTTTGGCATCTTTAACAGTTATACAGTCAGTTATTTGGCGAACAGAAATTGTGTTATTACTCTATATTGATCCTCTCTATTTCAAATAATACGAAAAAACTGTTTATATTTCTGATACATTTACATGTATGTGATTGTTTTCCTCTTAGGACTTCTCCCTGAAAATTTAGAGCTACTCTCTGGGACTACATGTACTTTCTCTGCAAAAAGTTTCCTTTTTTGGAAAACTATAAATTTGCTCTTTCTTAATATCTATTCTGTTATTTTATAATATCATAATGAACTGCTACAAATATTTGAATTTCATATCTTATGGTTTCAAACCAACAAAAAATGATAATGCATAACGAGACTGTAAAAGTCTGCTTCACACTTGGATATATTACTTGAAAAAGACACTAATGGTAGTCTAACAACTAAGATATATGATAAACGTGATGGCTTAAACTTTTCTGTCAACTTCCCTTACTTATGCAGCAATATACCTTCATCGCCTGCATTCAGAGTATATATATCTCAGTTGATTCGACACGCAAGAGGATGCTCTACGTATGAACAATTTCTAAAACGAGGTAAATTATTGACAAGCAAATTGATGAAACAAGCAGTCCCTTTAAAAGTCATCATTTCGTAAGTTCTATGGTCGATACAATGACCTTATCAGCAATTCTAATTTATCATTAAGTCAAATGCTGACTGACGTTTTTTCATACCAATTGTTAGTCCATTATTTATACACTGAATTGACGACAGATTTCGTTATTTCCTAATCATGGCAATAAGCACACGGCGGGTGTGAATTTCCATAATTTATATATATAGAGATAGATATAGTTAAGTTTGAATTTGTAACTCTCATTTAACATTTATGTTGATTTTGAGAATTACCGGATAAAGCAATTGAAATGAGTACATAGCCCATTTTGCTTCCCTGACTGATAAATAGTTAATTACCATTTTAACTTTATATTATTGCAAATAGTTGTTTTTTTTACACAATCAATATTTGCTTGATGTTAGGATGACCCAAACCTACTGTAAAGGGTTGATAATCTTTCATCCGTTAAATAACCGATATTTAAAAAAAGGCATCCATACTTTTAAAATACAAAACTATATTTTATATATATAATAACACCCCCACCCGTAAAATATGATGTTGAATTTCTTTTCCGTTTCAGTATATCGATGCAAAAAATAATAAAATAATAATGAAGTATTCGATTTCTTTTTGTGTTATTATTGTCATAATATATAGTACTAATTAATTTCTAAACCGCTAAAAATGTCGCTTTTGTCAAAGTGTGTAATTATTATGTTCAGTCCAGTATGCTTCGTACTTCCGGAATGTACAATGACCAACCTCCAAATGAAAATGCAGGACAAAACTATGGACATTCAAAAGGTTTGTAAGAGAGCGTGTGTAATATTTACGTTCATGTTCTGCAATTGTATACAATTTTTCTGTTTTATAAAACGATCAGGAGTCTCTACAGCTTCAATGTTGTGAATCGTTTATTTTATTTATTTAATGTTATATAAAAATTCGGATTTTTACGTCAGTAATCAGTTTGACTCACTTTTGCTATACATGTACCATGCATTTAGAAAGAGGGGGATAAATAAAAGCAGTTAAAGTGACTAATTTTTACGTAAACCCTCAATTTAAATCTTTTATACACAGTGTGAAATGTTATGAAAAAAGACCCCCCCCTAAAAAAAATAGTATATTTCTGTACTTTTTAGATGGTTAAAGTTATTGATATTGTAATATCTTGCAAACGGGTTCTAAACACAGCTTTTAACTTCACTGTAGGGGTTTATGCATTTGGCAAGGACTCTGGATTTTGGATTATATCAAGTGTACCAGAGTTTCCAGCTGCAGTTCCAGAAAAGAAAATTAAAAATATCGACGATTCCTATACGTATAACGATGGTCAGACAAAGTTCGGACAGATAATTTTCTGCGTCACATTGGAATCAGAGTATATGGAAACATTGGGTATGTTTTACTGAACATTGAGTTTTAAAATTAAACACTACAAAAAACAAGTTATTGAAATGAACAGACAAATTTACATTGTCATTTGAAATAACGAACAATATGCATTCAAATTCTAAATCAACAAAAACATCAATGTTTTAATATATTAATGCAGGTTATTGACACTTTTTGTTTTTATGACTTAACAACTATTCGGATATTTATTTCGGAAAAAGGGGAAAAGCATACAAAGTTTACTTACTTTTTTACTATAATATTATAAAACAAAGGATTGCTCAAGACTACACATTTCATTGATATTATCTTCTACTCATTATAGCAAAAAAATGAGCTTGATCAGACTTGTGCTTGTTGTCTTTTAATTTGCTCAAAATTTTGACGTAATATTCTTCATTGTAATATACTCCATTTTCTGTAGAAATCATGAACGTTTAAAACTTACGTCAAATCAAGTTATGTCAAACATATGAAGTCATGTCTGATGAAATTATTTGGTGCTTTGAAGTCTGCAGATATCACTTTGCTTTAAAACATCATTATATTTTTCTCCGTAAAATTTTGATATTAGGTGCAAATATTGACCATTACCGCATAAAGTAGTTTGTGCTCATTTCCACACTTCAAAGATCTAGTAAATTCACCTGAAACAATTACATGTATTCAGAAAAAAGGGAAATAACAAACCCATTTAAATTAGAACAAACTGTACTATCTCGGCAATACACATCCATTTCGTTAGCAGGTTGATAGGCAGTAGAATTTGCTAGCCAAAGAAATGATAGGGAATGTTAATCTGACATGGATGCTTATTACATTATTAATTTTACATTCTTGTGACAGCATAAATTTTCGTCTTTGTTTATATGGACATTAGCAAAATAAAATGTAAAACAGAACATTTTTTTTTCATCTCCATGTGAACATATTGTCGTCAGGATGTTTTGACATACACCTCATCTTACCTCTACGGGGTTGTTTTATGGACTTCGACTTGAATGATATTCTCTATCTCCACATCCTTCATTTGTAGAGTGTTTTATACATGTCCTGTTTTTCCTATTCCAGGATAAATGGGGTCCTCTTCCTTATCAGAGATATTTCTCTTGAGCAATTGTGTTTTAATGTTTTCTTAAAGACTCACAACGATTTATGGATCACTTGTTTTCCTTGCGTGTCTAATGTTCATTTTTGCCTTTCTTGCAATTGTGTTGCATATTTGGTTTTTTTTCTAAACAAATTAATATATATCTTAATTTTTTTACAGGTAGAGCATTTGCCACTAAAAATCCCTACTTTTATTCAAAGTCTGGAGATTTGCCTTTAAATGGAGAGCTTACTTGCACAAAATGTATTATTCCTATGAAATTTGCAGGCAAAACAGTGTTAAAATTGTTCGCAAAGCGTCTTTATTTGGAGAAGGTACCTGAAATATGCTATTTCAGAATTATAATACAAGAGACCACTTAAAAAATTCTTTGAGTATAAAACAAGTTAAATTTTATTTAATAAATGACATGTTGTCCACATATTTTGACAATAAAGCCATCATGTATCTTGAGAAATCAAACAAACACATAATAGTATCTGTGGTCTTTCTTCATATAAGTAATTCTATTGCTAATCAGAGTAAACATGCATAAAGCATTTTTACCACTTTACCCATTTATTAAAGTGATCATTGGGACATTATAGTGATATTTATTATTATTATTATTTTTTTATTATTTTGATCTATTTTACAGCTTGATTCGGTTGCCTGTACGTTACGTAAATATAATTAGCTGCAATTTTTACGTTAAAGCGAGGTAAAATGTAACGACCGGGTTGCACGAAAATTATTTTGATAGTCAAACATTAGCTACACATCTATTTTAGCTGACATAATTCATTGAGGTATATAAGGTACATCAAATAGTGAACTAATCATTAGAAACAGACATAGCGGATTTACTTTTGTTTGGAAATATGTATGAGGAACAGAAAAAGTGCAATTATAGGGAAAAAGGTTAAGGGGGACGAGAGGAATGATCAGGCCTTCCATATACCAAATGTTCAACGATAAGATACAGCTGTAACAAACAATAACAGTAACAGTGCAATATTTAAAAAGAAATCATACAGGTCCACACCTTACAGTTCTGAAACAAAGATTTACACAGTGATGTACCTGGGTTTTTTTTTATTATAGTGCGCAGGTATAGGTGGATCGAGAGATTTTTTTAAGGATCAATTGAAAGTCGGTGTGTCAGATGAATTTAGGCATATGAGTGAGATATGAGTGTGGCGTTGTTTAATTTTTCTAAGATAGAAAATGGGTCAAGTAATAAAGAGATGGGTTTTTTTTTCCTCAGAGTCCATCACAACTTTTATTTCCGCTATGCTTTAGTTCGAACAAATATCTGTTTTGGCAGCCATTTTCTGTATTCGTGTGTACATTTGTAAGGAAACCGAACGCGCAGACGTATTTAATTTCTTGTTAATTAACGTCGATGAGTTAAGTCATAGTTAACTAATGAACGTTTAATTCCTTTGCGTGCAACCCATATTTAATGGTTTGTTATGTAACTGACAGTTAAATCTTTCACTAACAATTAAAAGTTTAACTTACATTTAATTTAACTAACGTTTCTGCAACCGAATCCATATCAGTAACTTTTCTAACTTTAATCAATTTGCGATGAATTGAAATTTAGCACATAAGTTTAGTCAATCACGAACTATTTTATTTTGTGGTGTTGTCTAATGCAGTTTTTGAGTCCCGGGGCTTATTTTCTCTTTTCGAAAACAGTTAAAATTTCATGAAGTTTCTTTATTGTGGTCTTCCTATTGTTATCTTGTTCTATTACAGGGTGATGAATTTTTTTAGCAGTCATGTCAAAAATGTAAGAACGATATGACATTCTGACTTACTTGAAAAATTACTGTAATACTTGTATTACCCAACCATGCATCATAAAAAGAAATATATGTCCTCATATTAGTAAAGAGCAAGAGCCACTTTGAGCCTTATTTTGCCCTTAGAATTTCTGAAAAATCAAAACCGCTAAATCTAGTTTGCAAATGCAGTATTTATCACTTGGAGTGTTGGTGACCACGTATCTATTAATCGTGACGTAATTTTACATCTAGTCAATGCATTATGACGTCATAAAATGTATCATTCTCCTCAAATCCTTTAAATTCCTTTGAAAATGACCTAAAATTGAAGCATTTTTTCAATATCTCATATAGAGCACAACCTCTGATCCAAAATATGCAAATACACAATGAAAGCTCTGTTTCTGAAGATCAAAAAGCATGTTTTATTTTTTGGATCGTATGGTGTGCTCGTATTTTAATTCTTTGCTGAAGGTAGCCAAATACGCTTGTTTTCTGCAAATTTCAAGAACATTGCAATTTCTCAAAATCTGTTTTCCAATATGCGGATTCTCAAAACGATATTTTATTATAGATAATGAAAGCACCAAGTGTCTACCTTATTTTAAATATATGAAATGCGAAAGAGGGTGATAGTTAATCAATTGATATAAGTACATGGCCATTTTATGCATAAGAAGGCTCTTGCTTTTTTACTTTAATAAATTCATATACTTGATTAACATTAAAAGGAACTCACCAGGACAGCAAAAAATTAGCTAACTCACTGTAAAAGTGTGTGATATGTTTAAGAAAAATCAGCTGATTGAGTTACCCGTAGATCAATAGAATATACTAGTGTAATGATTCCTATAGAAAATATTAAGATTGTGAATTAGAGTATTCAATGTATGAATTGGGAGTTTTATCATGCATTAAACCGACCTTTATAATTAATTTAATAATTTATTTTTACTTCATTAAAATGTAGATTTATACCGGGATTTAATCAGAAAGAAGTTTGACGATTCCTTATATGTTCAAACATGGCGACCCAATTTGAATTCTTCAACCGGCAAGGTATGTATTGTTTGAACTTTTTTTTATCAATCATACACCATATAAAACAGATTAAACATAACTTCATTTTAATAGTTCCAGGTTACTAATGTGGAAAATGTCTGTTTTAAGAATGGGCTGACTTACAAGACATCCCTTGATCATTCGAAGTGGGCCGTGGCAAAAAATAAACCATGGACTTGTATTTGTGATATAAACAGACATGTGAATATTTGATGCCCCTTGATTCTTTTTCTGTTTTTTTTTTTCACTTCGAGAGGTTGACCAATCGATTCTTTTAAAAAAAAAATATGCCTGTGGAAGTCAATTACATTGTGTTTGTAATAACGATAGAGACAACCATGTTCGGTTCTCCACCGTGGATAAGACCAAAAAGCTGAGTTTTGTCATTATTGTAATTGATTAATAATTAATTACTTGATGTAAAATTGATACAGACAAACATTCAAGCATTCAAACCTCTGCATTGATTAGACTCAAATTTTCATTCTTTTATGGATTCACATGTTTTCCGTTATGATCATTGGGACAATTTCACTCCTTTTGAAATATTTTCAGATTAGACTTTGCGTGTATCGTTCGGAAAAATTGGAGTTCTTATCAAACTTCGTTACACTATTGTCAAGATATTTAAATAAGCAGATTACAATAAATAAAAATCGGCGTCTGCACATGATTGAAAAAAAATCGAGAGGGCCGTCAAACAATTTTAAAAAGTTTGAAAATTCCACCTGATTTAATAGGCAATAGGGTACTTTTTATTTGGACACGTATTGTACAAAAAAAAAAAAAAAACACCGAAGCATCGAAAAGCATATATCGGTTTTCGTAAGGTTTTTAAAAATATTCCTATTGCTTCAATTGCATGACTCCGTTTGTCAACATATTTTATATTCTTTTATCGCGTAAATTTGCCTTCTCAAAATTTCTTTTCAAGAACTAACAAACCTTTTAATATTTAAAAGTCAGTTTCGTCAAAGCTCGTCCTCGTGTAAAACTGCTGTAATCTTTCAAATACTGTATGTGCCATTAACAAACACAAGAAGAGGTAACAATACGTTTGATTTTCATTACTGCAACTCTTCAAATTAGAGACCCATTAAATCGCCAGCATGGCGTTTCTCATAATGTTTATTTGCCAATCACAGTCCAAATTCAAATTGTACATGTATTTGTTATTCCAATTTAAGAAAACATGAACTAATAGATATATGTAAATGAGCGAGAACTCTAATTTTTCCAGCCATTATAGTAAGAAATCCAACATTTTCGAGGAAAATGATGATTAGATGATACTGTAAACCAACTTTTATTCGCGACGACTTTATTTCGCGATTAACCAAGAGTAAACTTGTTCGCGACGATTAATTTTCGCGATCAAGCCTTTTTGGATTTGTAATTAATAGACACAGTGGCCTCAAAAACCAGTTAGTGGCGAGAAATATTCCTCGCGAAAATTTCTCGCACGCGAATAAAAGTTGGTTTACAGTATATGAAAATAAGGTACGAAATCAAGCTCAAAATTCCAAAATTCCATTAAAACATAGAAAATAGGAGCAGAGCAAACACAGATCTCCATAATATCAGAGGTGGGAGTAAGCATCGCCTGCTGACCATTCACACACACCCCTTGTCATGATAAATAATCCGTTTTCAATTCCGTGTGTAAATAATAGACAAACATATTGGCATACAAACGTTGTAGCTTCTACTATTACCTATTAAGTCCACAGTAATGAAATGATCAATTTTGAATTTGTGTATTTGATGTCATTTGAAATCATTTTATAGTGGAAAAGGATTTATCAATAAAACAATTCAAAGGAAAAAAAAAATGAAGTAGGAACAATTAATCCATGATTATTGCATTTGAGTCAATGGAATCAAGTATATTTTCCAAACTGAAATAGTATATACTTTGAATATCAAACAATCTCAAACATTGTTGTGTAGAATTTGATCATAAGGAAAAGAAAAATGTTTAAAAAATATTTTTTCACAGGATTGTTTTTAGGAGTTAAGCCGAATTAGTACTCACCAATGGACAAAAACCATATCATTACGATATTGAACGCATTGAACAAGAAAAAAAAAATCAATTTATGCTATTTATAGTGTTGATATTTCAGTTATATTAATAATTTTATTTTTTATCTTTCATTGCTAGGGACCAAAAGATAACTCAGTTTAAAAGAGGTGGATTAGTGTTGTGTTTAAAAAATGCAGAGGTTGCCAAAGAATTTCGAGAACTGATCGAAGAGAAAAATAGATGCAAGGGAGGGGAATCTTCTGAAGAAAAGGAATCAAGACGGACCTCGCGTTGAATTGTAATGACAAAATATGTATTTGTACAGCAGAAAGGCTACTGGTGTCAATCGGAAAGAAAATTCAGGAGAGTAATCATGGATTTGCAGATCAGTCAATTAATTATCCTTCCTACCGGGTGTTATTAGTAATAATGAAATTGATTTTTTATTGTTTTTAAGATTTGCCATTTTCAATACAATTTTAATTTACAAGCAAATTGATTTTTACCTTTGGCTGCGAACATATGTACCTGTTACTATTTTATCAAGTAGAAGTATATTTTTTGTATAACTTATTTTCCTTTTTATAAATGCTTTCATCTGTTATGTCAGATATTTTGGAAATTGAATACAATATGTAGTTAGGGATAGACCAAGTCAATTATAAATGCATGTGAACTAAAAATAATAAGAATTATTCTTTTTTCCTATTATCTGTATATCATCATTTGTTTAAAAAACATACAAATACAAGATTTTAAAAATATGAAGATTTAATCCAATGTTAATTAAAGCTTTAAAATTTTCTTTATTATTTCTAAAATGTTTCAATTTTGTATATATCTTATGTTTTTTGTTATTAAAATATCCGAGCGCAATACACCGACGCCTTTAAGTGCAAATAAGACATGGACATTTGTTTAAGCCTTAACCAAAAAAAAAAAAAACAATACTGAAGATAGAGTTGCTAATAATTCACTATACATGTAGTTATTTATAGTATCCAAGGAAATAACTTTAGAACATTTATCTACTAAAGTAAAAACCTTCGGATTTTGATTTAATACAGTTAAAAAGTTACTTTTTTATTAACTTTTATAAAATGGAGGCTTGTTTAGAATATTCAAAATTTGAAGTAACTATATGTAATAGGTAATGAGTACATGTAAGTTAACCTTACGATCGAATGATATATTTTACGTGACAGTGTCAATTTTATTTCTTTTTCTCAAGACTCGGGTACAGAAAACATGTATCGAAGCAATCAGGCTATGCAATGTTATTTACCCTTTGCCATATCTTGAATATGAGACATGTAATTAAACGTATTTCCTACAGTTAGTTATATCTGTATTAATTTGATTGTCGCGTAATGGATTACATAAATACAAGTGTATATTCTGTGAATTACCCTATAAATCTAGCAAGTTTGTTCAAAAATTTTGGTTTGTCTTGATATAAAAACTTTAAAGGACTTGTGTTGGACTTGTTGAATTTTAAATTACTGGTTTTAAATTGTTTCTTTCCCGTTCTTTTTATTGATAAGTGTTATTTATTTTTACATGTATTATATATATTAACATGTAATTTTGATATTTATTAGTTTATTAAGAATCATATTGCACATGCATAACTCTGATCCTTCCACGCCCCAGTCTTTGGCAAGCCTCATTCTTTGTTTTTTAAAGTGTTTTTATTATTATTGTACCTCCGTAAGTATTTTCTATCTAAAATTATGAAGAATAAACCTTCTTTTTGTCAAAGCAGTACCTGCCTTGAAATAGTTTGTACTACAGTATATTTGCCTTTAGTGAAGTAGTATTAATATTAGTAGACTGAAGTATTGTATTTCCTTCCTTTTGTCTCATAACTAATCTGATTTGTGGTATAGTGACTTAAGCAGTTTGTGTGCTTACTTGGGGGACGATTACAAATATAACTTGATTAGCCTGCAAATTTATGTATAATATTATTATTATTTAAATATTTCGGATTTCAGACGATTAGGCAGTAGAACTATCTAATAGACATTTTTTTTCGAAATTTGCATCACGACCAGCAAAATTGGAACTTTTTTTTATTGCAATGAAAAATAATGGATTTTCATATTTTTACATTTTAAATGTATATCGTACATGTATAGTAAAGTTGCTAGCTGTCGTTACTATGTAATAAATAGTATGTGCTAGTGTTTATTGTACCTTCATTTGAAAGTAACGAATGGATTAAAGTAGAAATATTATCAGCATGAAATGCGACAAACAAACTGAATTTATGAAGATATCACCTGAAAAATGACAAATTACAGCAGAAGTTACTTGTAGAGTAGACAATATGGTATTGCATCTTGAACAAAATTATAATGAATTAATTTCATGAAGCAAGTCTTTAGAAAAAGAGGTCACTTCATTTAACAATGCTATTTACACGGTTCTCACAATTAATTGGTCAATCAATTAAGAAACTTTAGAAACACAGTTGGAGCAATTTAAACATGGTGTTCAAACATTAGTTCAGGGAAATATCTCACCAATCCTCATAACTCCCAGACTTTTACAGAAAACCCTGCATGATATCCAAAACATACTAACAAAGAACTAGTGACGTTTGTTTGTTTCTTCAACTGACCCATAAGTGAATTATACTTTTTTTCCAAATTCTTTTTTGCACGTCACAGTTTCAATCCGTACATTATGGTCAAAATGCCTTTGTCATCATTTAGATTTCCTTTAACCTTGTATGATATAATATCACTACTTGTTCCAAATAATGGTTCCTCTAACAATGCAACGAAATTACTCAATTTACCAGATAACCTTGCCATTTCTAAGAAGCATGACTATTTCGTTGCAATAGGGACTCTGTTATCAATACATGTGTTGGTGACACTTTTTAACATTGTTCTCAAACAACTGCTTATACATCTACTTCTAACAAGTCTGCTCTCATGTCACTTTTTAACAACAATAAGGAAGCTGTCAACGAAACATGCAATTTTAGATTTGTTCAAGAACGCGTACTGCCTAAACTCATAGAATTAGATAAGTCTTTAGTTCTTGTTTACAATAATCAAACTGTTTTATACAAGTGTGGAAACAAAGTTAGACAAGAGCCAGGTTGCAAATTTTGTTTGGTTAAAGTCCCTCACTTATAACATGTGATTTATACTCCCTGTACGCCTCACAGCTTCTAATAAGAAACCCCAACTAAAACCTACTTATTACCACCCTGTTAATAGAAGTAATTATCATGAATTAAGATAAGAACAAAAGGTTGATTAAGAATTTTGAAAAGTTTTTAAGATTGACAAAACGGCAGAAACAGTGTAGATTTGATTTGAATTTATTTTGAAATGAATTTGTTCTTGATTGAAAAAGTTTACCCTAAGGCGCTTGGTGCAAAAACCTTTGAAGCTGGAAGCGAATAAAATCTGGAATCAAGTGCTAATGTAAACATTTAAACGACTTCTAAAC